ATTTTTCTTCATATTTAGATTAATATCAGACTCATGATAAAAGTAAACAAAACGAGTCTGTTACGAGTAGCATGCACCTACAGGACTGTATTTGCGGCGGCCTTGTGGATTATCACGGGCTGTGTTCCTCTGCATGTGTTAGCAGTAGAAAAGAGACATCTCTATGAGAGAAGAGAGCATTTGACAACAGCCATAAAAAAAGAAGAAAGGGAAAGATCAGTGGAAAGATGGCAAGAGGAGTGGAACAACACGGAAAATATTGCCCAGTGGACCAAGATGTCGATCTCGAACCTAAGGGACTGGGTAGATTAATTGTTTTAGGGCATGTCTTTATAGGTTTAGAAAGACAGATACAGATAAATGCCTATACTGGGAATATTTCCGACACTGTTACTTACACAATGATGGAGTGTAATAGATGTACAGAATGTATAGAGAAATAGGTATGATCCATGTGACTGTGAGAGAGATGATCGTGAAGATGACGGGAATTACGGGATGGAATAGTGTTCACAATTACATCCAAATGGTAATTAAAAAGAAAGAAGGAGATAAACACCAACCGGACCAACGACAGAGATAAGATATAGATAATAGATGGAAGTTTTCCAAAAATGTCGTCAGCTTTACAGCGGCCATTCCACTTTCGGATAATGTACGTGCGACAACCAACTGCGCACTAGTAGGAGAGGGTGGTTTTAGTTAATAGGTAGGATAACAGATACCTGAAGTAGGTAAATAAATAAGACTTACTCACAATCAATTTAATTTAACTATCAGACGACCGGTTTCGCTTTCTACAATATACAAAGCATCTTCAGGTCTCGACACAAAGTTAAATAAATGATGCCGGTACATCAATAGAGTACCGGCATCATTTATTTAACTTTGTATCGAGACCTGAAGATGCGTTGCATATTGTAGAAATGGAAACGGGTCGTCTGATAGTTAAATTAAATTGATTGTAAGTCTTATTTATTATTTCTTTACCTATTTGAAATGGACTCACACAAGCAACACGTTCATGAGATACCTGAAGCTTTGGCATTGCTATCTTTAATTCTTTAAATTAAACTAAATCCAAATTTTAAGGACTCAAAATGGAGGTACCAAAAATTTTTGGTTCCCAATCAAACCGCCCCCCCCCCCAAAGGTAAATTCTAGGTACGCTACTGCAAGAAATTAGCAATAAATTATAGTGTTGGTCTGAATATAAATTGGCCTTATAAATTGGATATGTTAACATTATTTTAGTTGCAATTTTGGAGAAATATTGACAGATACTGAGATGATAATTTCTTGTTTTTTTTTAATGGACAGGTTTCCTAGAGGTTATATTTGTATTTTTAGATCTCCGTGTTGTCTACTTAGCATACGAGGGCAGTGGTTATTATTTTATTAAGTTAAGTGGCACCGTGTCACAAACATTTATATTAGGATAGGTCAAACAATAATCTAATTGAATAATAGGTCGAATGTGGGTGTTAGAGAATCAAACAATTAGATTCCATTAATCGAAATATACTTTACAGAATAAGATCGATAAATTAATTTAATATTTATAGATCAACCGACAGCGTTAAAACATACAGTCTTATACATATATACAGTGGGAGGAAAAAGTCTTAAGGCCGTATGACACTATGCATTTTCTTGTATCATTTCTTGTATCATTCCTGATATAGAAAGTTATTTATGTTTTCTTGTATCGTTTCTTGTTCGTACATTTTTGCCCTGTATGACACTATGCAAGTTCTTTTATCAGAAATTGTACGTGATTTGGCAGATGATTGGTCGAAATTTTGACACCTATAAAAATAGAACTGCAGTACTTGAGGACCAAAAGCTACTGGGGACTGAGGACAAATGCTACTGATTATTTTTAAAAATACTGTGGTGCAAAAATGAAAGAAATAAAATGTCACAATATTAAAACTAAATTGGAAACCGCAATTTTTGAAGATATTCAACAGACTGTAATGGAAGACAGAAATAATAAATAATTTGGTTGTAATAATTTATTTGTTTTTTTTTTTAATTTGTGTTTGAATGGCATGCTCTTGTTTATCAAGTGTTCAAAATGTTTTCCATGTGAGTTGACAGTACCCTAATCGATGGTAGAATGCGTCTACCACATTTTTCCATGTTTGTCTAGAAATTATTCGAGGTTAATCGATATTTCGTTGCATTAGCTCTGCAAGACTTGTTGGTTTAGTTTTGTAAACTGAATTTTTCAAGTATCCTCAATAAAAATAATCTATAGGATTGAAATGAAGTGAACGGTCATTGTGGAGGCCATTCAATTCTACATCGTCTACCAATCCATCGTCCGGAAAATACCTCTTCTAAATAACGCCGAACATTTACACCAAATTTTGTAATATTATGACAAGCAATTTACGAATTACAAATTACGAATTTACTAGATAGATACCGATCATTTAGACCGAAAAGAGTTATGAATGACAACACGACTAGATATGATGCAAAGTTTTGTTGAAGATCCACATACATCCTCACACAGGGTTGCACAAGTATGCATACATAAGAATATTTTTAAACGATACAAAATTAACTTATTGCAAAAATTAAGTGAAGATGACTTCGATCGTAAATTAGAGTTTACTGAGGTAATGATGGATAAAATGGAAAAGGATAAAAATTTCGTTAACGCAATATGTTTTTCCAATGAAGCAACCTTTACACTGTGAGGAAGTGTAAATCAACACAATTTAAGATACTAAAGTGACGTAAATCTACACTGGATGCGTGAAAACCAAATTCAAAGACCACAAAAATTAAATGTATGGTCAGGTATAATAGGTACTCAGTTAATTGGGCCATTTTTTATTGAAGAAAATTTAACTTTGGATAGTTACGAAATGTCAAGATATGAGAAATATGGCAAATACATGCTTGACAGAGAAAGGCGATAGATAGGCACGACTGGAAAAAAATTCTTGGGGAGGCTAGGACCCATACAGGGTTGTAAAACCAAAATTATGATGATGATAGTTACGAAATATTACTTAGAAATGAAATTGTACCTACACTGATAAACTTGATTGGGTCCAATTTTAATCAGATATGGGCAACATGAAACTCCAGCTCATTTTGGTGTAAATTCTCGGGGTTATTTAGAAGAGATATTTCCAGGACGATGGATCGGTAGACGAGGTAGAATTGAATGGTCTCCACGTTCACCTGATTTCAATCCTAAAGATAATTTTTATTGGGGATACTTGAAAAATTCAGTTTACAAACCTAAACCAGCAAGTCTTGCAGAACTAAGGCAACGAAAAATCTATGAATCTCGAATAAATTCTAGACAATAATGGAAAAATGTGGTAGACGCAGTCTACCATCGATTAGAGTACTGTCAAATCACAAATGAAGCACATTTTAAACACTTGATAAAGTAACCATTGTGTTAAAAAATGTTGTAATATATCAATTGTTACGTTTTAATGTAGGTAAAAATAGTTAGTATTAAAAAAATTATTGAGACAATTAGGCGTTGCCAGACTTCTGTTTTATGTATTTAAGACCTTCCAGACTACATAAAATAATAAGTGTTACATATGGTTGAACTCGTAGTGAAAAGGAGATTCCAATAATGAGTGAATATACAGGCCGATGAATTTAATAAACTAAAGTTACTAATAATATAAGAGAAACGACAAATTCAGCGACACATTGCAAATGTCAATTATGGAATCTCCGTGTCCCAAAATATATGTACCTCAAATTTTGTATAATTGTCTGGTAATTTACGAGATAATTGGCCAATTCCAGACTTTTGGGCCTCTCTGTATATTAAGCTTTACTGCACGTTTTATATTTTTATTTTTTAAATGTTTCTGGAGACCGTGAACAGTTCTGTTTGCTATTGCTATGCGTCTTTTTATTTCGTCGCTTGTCGTGTTTGTTGCGTTTACTAGCGATCCAAGATATGTAAATTCTTTGACTTGCTCAAAGGTATGGTTGCTAATTATTTGAATTCTCTGTTGGATATTTCGAGGGTTTCGAGGGTTTATAGAATCCAACCTATATTTGGTTTTTTCCTCGTTTATCGCAAGTCATAATTCACTTGCGTCCGCAAGTCTTGTAAAACACTGCACCATGTCTCACATACTTCTGCCTACTATAACTACGTATATCGTCAGCGAATGCGAGAATTTGCGTCGATCTATTAAAAATAGTTCCATTCATTCTAATATTTACTTGTCTGATTGCCTTTTCAAAGGCAATATTAAAGAGGAGGCACACCAACACGTTCCCCTATCTTAGCCCATTATTAATGTCAAAGAACGTAGAGTTTTCTCCTTCAATTCTAACGCATGAGCTTACGTTTTGCAATGTTATTTGGGTCAATTTAACTAACTTAGGTGGGATCCCAAAGTCTATCATTGCATTATATAATGCATTGCATTTTATATTGCCGGATTGTCCTTAGGACTTCTAATTATTTTCCATTTCGTCTTACTTAGCACATTCCAACTACGTCCAATTTGATGATCTCCAGTTCATTTTCCATTTCAGTCAGAGCCCATCTTCTGATAGTAATGATCTGATATTATAGGTTACGATGATTAATCTAAGTGGTTTTAGGTGATTTGATCCACATGCTCCTGACACCCCCCTTACTCTGCTTAGGTTTGACCGACTTAGCGGTGTTGGATTTCTGATTTTTATCGGAAATTGCTGTCATCTTCTACATGCTGATTGGCCATAACTCAGAAATGCGGGTTGGCGAGTGAAAAAGACAAGAAAGAATGTGTGGTGTTATGAGTTAGAATATTTGGTTTTGGACATGATTTACCCTAAATGTGTGTGTAATGGAATAACCAAGGCTCACGTGGGCAGGGTCGCTTCTCTAGCGACCTTAGGTCTATCTCATACTGGGATCGTTGAAAGTCCCTACTCGTTTCCCTAAAATATGTGTATGTATTTAGTAATCTGAAAATAGTATCATAGGTAAACATAAAAAGTCTAAAACATATAAAAAAAATTTATCGTACAAACTAAAATAATATTACAAAAACTTATTTTTACTTAGCTAAAGCTTTGGTTAAACACATTCCAATAATACAGATAATCAATAAATTTCTCAACATCTGATCACAGTGCAACTATTACAATCAAATTAATAGAAATTTGATGTCATTAATATGTCTCACAGCACTAATTGTCTACAGAACACTTCTTGTTTTGATCTTTTATTTACAATTTAAAAACAGCTTTTAAAACTTTTCCACTTTTTAGATCATTTAAAGCCAAATCGTATTCTTCTAGTTTATAAGTTTTAATTCCAAGTTTTTCATATTGTAAATACCTAAAAAGAATAAATTCAGTCACAGATAATTAGTCAATGTATATAATATTGAGTAATGCATCCCTAGATAAGGCGAAATGCTCGGGTTCGTTTGGAAAAATATTCTCATGAGATTTTTTTGTACATTCCTTTTCATGAGATACCCCAAAATAGGGTTCAAGAGGTCGCCCAAGCGAAAAGTTGTTCAAATTTTTTAAACATTTTTTTTTAAACAAATTGGAACAATCAATTTTTTCGCCCTGGACAAATATTTTTTTGAAATCTTTGGACTATTCTGAACAAAATAGTCCTGTTGTCATTCTTCTGCAAACTTGATTATTTTTGAGTTATAAACCATTTAAAACTGAAAAAAAACCGCAAAATTACAATTTTCAAGGCTTAAAAACACAACTAAAAGAATTTATTGTCGAGAATTTTTATGGTCAAAACAAGAAGTGAGACCAAGATGGGGGAAAATCTAGATATGATTACTGCAATGGAACAACGTCGAAGAGAAGAAAAAGAAGCCGAAGAGGAACGGCGTCAGGAGGAAAAAAATGGTGAATACGGACGTCATCAGGAAGAAAAGGAAGCTGAAGATAAACGCCGTCAGGAAGACAGAGAGTCGCTCGTGAATCTTAGATCAAAAATAGAAAAATTAAAAGTAAGTAAGGAAGATATGAAAAGAGAAATTGAAGAGACAAAATAAGGCATGATTAAAGAGATTGAAGTAATAAGAGGCCTAGTAGAGGTAAGTCACTATAAGGTAACGGAAACTCTTGAATATATCCGCCTAGACATTGAACAGATCCAAAAACTGAGAGTTGAAGGTATATCAGAAGGGATTTGTCCCTCTGTCAACGGAATAAATAAGCCGCCTACATTTGATAAAAAGACAGTGTATAAAAGACAGTTTGGAGCTCCTGGCCAGTGTATAAAAGATAGTTCGAAGCCGCTGCACAAAATAATGAATGGACCAATGAACAGAGAGCAACTGCTTTCATATTAGCACTTAGAGATAAGGCTGTCAAAATCCTCCAAAACATCCCAGAGGACGCACAAAAGAACTATGAGACTAAGAGCGATGATTCTAAGAAGAATACGGATCGGAAGTAGAAAAGACGACACGACTCGCGTGGCCCGAAGCTCCAGAAGAGTTCCTACACCAATTCACCATCCAATGTTTTCTTGATGGCTTGCAGGATGTAGATATCCAGTAAACATTACGACTATTATAAGAACGCTACCAAATATTGAAGGACAGTATTGTCGCAGCATTGGAGTATGAAGCTGTGATGAGTGTATCCTGCCATCAATATAAAGTCTATTAAGTAAGAGGTGTTGTCAAACTAAAAGAAGGTGATCTTAACACGCTGACTCAGTTGTTTGCCACCCAATTCTAGTAATATCTTAGCCTAATAGTTGATTCTCTGAAACAAAAATATCAAGGGTGTCCTAGGTGTTACAATTGTAGATTGGTTAGCCACCTACAACGTGATTGTACACAACATATAAGAGCAGAGGACAGAAGCAGGCCATTTCCACCGCAACAAAGCAGTCTCAGGTTCTCAATATCCATAATAAGACAAAGCAGCGACAGTTTAGATGCCGATGAACTTCACATTAGTCACCGAGCAGGAAGAAGTCATGGGAATGCCTACAGCCTCTCGTAGAGATGCCACTTTGGAACAGGATCTGTTCTTTTTGAAACAGGTTTTTATTTGGAACAGGTTGGAACAGATATTGATCAATAAGTTTTCCTGTTCCAATATAACAGACAGTTTAATTAACAGTTTATCACACAACAGACCAGTGTATTTACAATTACTTCAGAGACCGGTGTTGCATTGCTGTGCTTTTATATGGTTGTTGCAGTTCCAGTGGAGTGGAAAGTATGTGCATGCGCATAATCCATGATTGTAAACTCTGAATTGTCGACTCGCGACAAAACTTCAAACTTTTAAAATATACAACCACAAATACAATGGTCTATTGTTAATGCAACAACCTTTCTGGAACAAACCGAACCGGTACTGAAACAACCTATAACACAGTGTTAGACTTGGAACAGTTTGGAACTTAAGCAGTTTTTTTTAAACAGATAATTTTTGGAACTGAAACAGTTTGTAACAGTTGTTAAAAAATTAAGGCAATTAAGAAGACCAGAACGACATTGCTTCATCTTCAGTTTAACGGCATGGTAGATCATCGGACTACCGGATCATCAACAACTACCTGTCCCTGTTTGTATATGAAAATCACAGAGGCTGGGACAAACTGCTGCCTCTAATTCTACTAGCCTACTGAAGTTGTAGAGTCCACTCTAGCAATATTAGAAACTCGTCGATAGATGAAGTTTCCTATCGATCTCCTACATGGCAGAGTACACTCACTATACAGAGTGTAGCAGACTAAAAGATTGACTGGTTAAGGTCCACGGTTTTGTCAGAATCATGCTACAACTCACCGGTCACCTAATGAAGTGAAATCTACTCCTATTAGTTTCAAAAAAGGTTTAAGTCCCATCAACTAGAAGGAAAGGTCTAAGTCCCTCGTTGCAGCAATGGAAGGGACCGTATCTGGTTACTAAGAAGATAAACGACCTTGTTTATAAGCTGCAACTAACGTCACGAAGTAAGTCGAAGGTTGTCCACCTTGAGAAATTGTGTAGTTATGAAACGCAGAATCCACCGACGTGGTCCACTTGGTTACTGTTCGAAGCGAACAGCACTTTGTTAGCAAAGTTCTCAAACATATTATTTGTATTTTTCTGGAATCTCGTATTAAATCGTGCTAATTCATCATTCGTACTTTTGCTAGAACTCTAGAACATTATGTTCGTGTATATAAACTGCCTGACTCCTTTAAATAGAGGTAATTAGACGTGTGTTTTGTAAGTGATACCCGTATTATTGTCGGAGATAAATATTAGTGTATTTGTAATTATTAATGAGATATTTGTTATTTAGTGAGTTTATTTTGTAGTTGAGTAAATTAATAGTTCACTAATCCCTGAAATCACCGTAGAACTTAACAATAATAATATAAAAATGGAAAAAAATGATAATCAAATATAATGTATTACTTTACCTGTCCTCCATGGCATGAATTAGTCGAATAGCGTTTAAAAAGCTAAAGGGATTTATTTTAACGCCCATTATTCTGGTTTCTCTCATGAACATCTCGAATATGTTAATCCTTAAATCACACAAAAATTTGGTTGAATATCATATTTATATAGGATTAAGTCGCAATTGATTGTAATAAAAATTTCATTTCATAGTATTTCAGCATTTTTAGCTGATATCAGGTATTTTTGCTTTTCAAAAATTTATTATATGAAGATGGGTACCAAAAATTTTTAGAACTTGCTGAATTAGAAGAAATTATAATTATATTGTGTTTATATGGAAGTAAGAAACAATTGATTGTAATATTAATTACATTTTTAACTGAAAAAATTGACGTTTCGCTTCTACCTTTCCACCCTTTCCGGAAGTCGTTCTCAAAAAAGGTTATTTGAGAATTTTGTTCAAAAGAATGTGTAGCGGCTAAACTTGTTGACGAGGTTATGTCATTTCACAAAATCGAAAATTGTCACAGTTTGCCGCGGTGTTATCCGTGGCTGAAAAGATATGAGGGTGAATTCTTGCCCTATCGAACTTCAACTTCTAATTGTTTTGTCTTTTTCTTTTGGTGCCTATCCTCTGTGGATGTTGGCATTCACATCGGTCCATACAACTTTGTTGACAGCTGCTCTAAATAGATGTATAGTAGTTATTCCTGCTCACTGTCTGATGTTCTTCAACCACGATGTCCTTCTGCGCCCTTGAGGTCTTTTGCCTCCTATTTTGCCTTGCAAAATTAGTTGAATTAGTTGATACTTCTCATTGTGCATCACATGCGCTAAGTCTAAAAAGTCTAAGTCTAAAATCTTTCTGATTTTCATGATACGCATAATTTCCAGATTTTATTCATACGTTGAATCACGGTGTTGTTTGTAACATGATGGATATAGGAAATTCTGAGCATGCGGCGGTAGCACTACATTTCGAAGCCTTCTAATCGTGGCTTCCATGGCTTCCATGGCTTCCATTCCATATAAAAGAGTAGAAAATACATAGCATCTCAAGACTCGTGTTCTTATATCAATGTTCAGGTGCATATTACATAAAATCTTCCTGAGGCGATTGAAGACCGGTCTCGCCTTTTCTATACATCTTGTTTCCTGTGAGTGGTCCCACTCCATATTTAGGTTGCTTACAAGATATGTAATTTTGTCGATTATTTTCAAGGGTTCATTATTAGCTGCGAAGTGGTGGTGTACGTCGTTTTTACTTACTTAAGAGTTTTGGTCTTTGGACAGTTTAATTTCATGCCGTATCTGTCACAGGCTTCCACTTCACGGTCTATTAATGTCTGCAAATCATCCGAATTATCAGCAATCAAAACCGTACCGTCCGTATATCTTAAATTGTTTATGACTTCACCATTGATTTTTATACCTTCTCTTAAACCATCAATAGCTTCCTGAACAGCATTTCTGAGTAAGTATTGAAAAACGTTTGGTGACAAAATGCAGCCCTGACGTACTCCCCGTTTTATCGTGAATTCTTGTGAGGTTTCGTTGTCTACTCATACAGTTGCCCTTCGCTGTAACTATAAATTTTTAATTCAGCTTAAATCCTTCTCATTAATACTAGATTCTTTCGGTATCTGAAATAATTTTTTATGTTGCACCTTGTCAAATGCTTTTTCAAAGTCTATAAAGTATGCATAGACTTCTCAATTTACGTCTCGAGCTCTTTGTATCAATACTTGTATGGAAAAGAGGGTCTCTCGCGTTCCCAGTCCGCTTCTAAACCCAAACTGAACATTGCTAATGTTTTCTTTTCAAGTTTTCTATTCATGGATTTTTTTTGCATGGCTCATTAAGCTTATAATTTTGTAATTAGAACATCTGGTGGAATTTTCCTTTTGGGGAGAAGGATGAAGGTGGAAACTAGCAAATTTTGTTCAATAGACTCGTTAAGAGTTTGAGTTGGTTGTTTTTAAATAGTTTCAATATTTCAACTTGTTTGTTATCAGGACCAGGTGCTTTGTTGTTTTTTATGTTTCTCATTATATGTCCGAGATATTCTAACTTTCTTCTTTTAATCGTATGCATCACTTCTCTTTCTTTCCCCATTCTTTGTAGTACAGTCTCGTTGGTTATCTTGTCCGTCGATGATAGCCTTAGGATTTCTTCTGTATAGCCACATCTCGAAGGATTCAAGTTTTTTCTCCATCGCTTCAGTGAGTGTCCAGAATTCAACTCCGTAGTATAATATCGAGAAGATATAACATCGTAGGAGCCTTACTTTTATCTCCAGATTAAGGTTGTGGCTTTTAAAGTTTTTGGATATGTTGTTGAATGCATTCTTTATTCTTGTGAGTGATCCCATTATTTGTTTACTATTGTTCAAAGATAGGTAAATTGATTTACTTGGTCCACTGGTGTATTCTTGATAAGCAGTTGGACGTCTCTAATTTTATTTTTGCTGATGACCATAAATTTAGTTTTTGATATATTTACTTTGTTTATTAGTTGCCGTAAACTGTTTGAACTGTCTGCAAAAATAACGGTATTATCTGCATAGCGGGTGTTTGGTAGGCATTCTCCATTTAAAAGGATTCCATGTGCGCAATTTTCCAAGGCTTTACTAAATATTTCCTCTGAATATAGGTTGAATAATATAGGTGAAATAATACATCCTTGTCTAATGTCTCGCAGAATCTGGATCGCTTTCATCGGTTCATCTCCAAGATTTGTTCTTATTGTGGCTGATTGGTTCCAGTTTAAATTTTGTATTATACGCCAGTCTTTATCATCTATTTGGGCATTTGTTAGAATATTTATCATTTTTCGGTATTGAACTGTGTCAAACGTTTGTTGGTTGTCCACAAAGCAGATGTAGACTTGTAGACTAAACAGTGCATCTCTCGTACCTATGCCTTTCATGAATACAAACTGTGTGTCTGGTATTCTCTCTTCGCATAGGTTGTATATTCTGCGATGTTCAATATTTTCAGAAAAAAATTTAGTGTATGGCTCATTAGACATATTAGCCTATATTCTCCGCACTTTTTCGCTCCTTCTTTCTTTGATATCGTAATACATTCTGAAACTAGCCAAGCTTTTGGAATATTGCCTATGTCATAGATATTATTGAAAATTTTACATAGTACCTATTCTCAAAGATCAAGAAGTTTAAGAAATTGAGACTGTACTCCATCTGGTTCTAGAGCTCTCCCTTTTTTTAGTGATATTATGGCTGCTCTTATTTCTGCCACTAGTATATGTGGTCCTGTTTCCGTAAGTATTGAGGACTCGTTCTCCCTCCTATTAAAAAATAAATTTCGTATGTAATTTTTCCGGGTATTATCAATACTCTCTTTGTCCCGATTACCTCTCCGTTGTCATTAACAAGTTTACTTACTTTTCTTATTTTCTTTACTTTCTTCCATCAGCTGTAAAATCTCTGTCGTCATCCATGTCTTATTCTTACCTTCTTTATTCTCCATGAAGTTGTTTTTAATGTCGTCTATCGTTTTATTAAGGGATTCTATCTCCTCTTTTGTGCTTTCCGTTGTAATATCGATTTCTTTGAATTTTTTCTTTATTGTCTATTGACTATTTCTTGTACTTCACTACATTTTAGTTTTCTCATGTCATGTTTTTTTACAGTTTTTCCCGGTGATTTCCACGTATATAGGCGTCTAGGTGGTAGTTTGTAAAAAAGGAATGGAAAAACCATGGAATGGTTAAAAGACATAATAGAACTGTTTGTCTATACCTTTCAATGTTTTCAGATTGGGATACTTTAATTCCTTTATTTGTGTTCGTTTATAGAAGTTTCGAACATAAAGAAACCGGATAGTCTCCATCAATAATGCTCACCGGAAGAGAAATGAAACTTCTTTAAGATTGCCTCCCTGCAAAGAAGAACGTTCCTCTCTGACGTAAATTCCCAAAATTTATATTTCGACCTGCGTTTAAAAGGTCGCGCCTGCCTCTTTATAAGATACTTGTTTCAAGACACACTAAGGGTGAACGTGCTTGAGATCATTCTTCGTCTTTTTCTTTCTTAACTCTACAACTCTATAAGTGAGTCTTGGCTGCGTTTACTATTTTTCTCCACTCTTGCCGGTCTTGTGCAGCAATCTCCTACTTTTTCCATCTTTTTCTTGGGCGACCAACTGACCTTCTGCCATCGGACCTTTTCCATTAGGTTGTATTTACTAGTCTTTTATCATTCGATCTCAGTCCATGTCCTGTCCATCTTTTCTGATTTGCCTTAATGTATCGTATTAAGTTTTCTTCTCCAAGAGTCGTTGGAGTTCCTGGCAATTTCTTCGTCTCCACTCTTTTATTATCTCGTCTATACAAGGCCCAAAGATCGTCCGGAGGATCTTCCGTTCTAACACTAATAATTTTGTCGTTTCACGCTGGTTCTGTGTCCACCTCACATTTCCATACGTTATTAAGGGACGAATTATAGTTATACATACCCTGGTTTTAGTTGTCTTTGAGAGCAATTATGATTTAAATAGCATCGCTAGGGAATATTACGCTCTATTTGCTACCGTGATTGTACCTTCTACATCTTTTTCATAACTGTTTTCGGTCGTTATCATTGCTCCCAAGTATTTGAGTTCTTTGACAACATCGAAATTGTATTTATTTATTGAAATGTTTTGTCTAATTCTTGATCTTGGATTTTTGATAACTACCATGTAGGTACTTGGTCTTATCTTCTACGACCTCAGGGCCTATTTTCCTGGCCCCGCTTTCAAAACGAGTAAAAATTTCTTTCGCATCTCTAGTAGATTGTGCAATTGTGTCGACATTGTTAGCAAGACCTAATAATACCTTCGCTCCATGGGCAACATAGCCATTTGTTAAGTCTGTTTGTGCTTTAATAACTATGTGTTCTAAAGCGAAGTTAAAATAACAAAGGGGAAAGTGGACCCGTTTTAATTTGAACCCTATCTGATATTGCTGCTAATTCTGATACGTGCACATAATTCCTGCACATCTGAGCTAATCCTACCTGCTTTTTGGGTACTTCCATTTATATCATTACCATACACAGTTTACAGAGTCTAACGTTTGTACATGTAATCTAAAATTGTATGTACATGTTTGTTGTATTCCCAACTCTTTTCCAACAAGATAAAAATTTGGTCTATTGGTCTATTGATTGATCTATTGGTCCCAATCGGAAGCCACACTGGTAATCACCTATTATTTCTCCTACGTACCGAATTAGTCTTCTTATTAGAATAATTGACATATCAGATCATTGACTGCAATTTCGAGTTAAACGTAAAAAGACGTTTTCCGACAGATTTTTTTATAATTAAATTAGAGATCTATTATATAATTCATTTTACAACTAAATTTTTATTTATTTCATTTATTATGTTACATGTTTGAGTTACATTTAAACCTAAAAGCTTTTTCGGTAGAAAAATTGTGGTCCATACCCTTCGTTTCTCATTTTTGAAATTTTTAATAATAATTAATTTACTTTTTTAAAAAGTAATTAATAAATTCAGTTTATACAGTTTTAATTGAATTTTTTCTCTGCTTTATATAGGCAAGCATGTTAATCTTAATATTTTGGTTTATATATTAATTTGGTATAGTCAGTAATGTAATTTTAGTCCTTTATAAATCTCTGATTGGGATTTATTGGCGCCTATTTATCTTTCGTTGCCCCTACAAAACTAGCTTTATTACTGCTAGTTTCGTAGCATCTAGTATTTCTTGATTTTTTGTTATCTTTTTATTATTCATATTCTTATCCATCCCAGATGCTTACGATAATGAGTCCTTCGTGTTGTCCTTGTCATTTGTGCTAAATCATTTTTTTGACCGTATCTAATTTAAATAAAAAAAGGCAGTTATGAGTTAATACGTTTACTTTAGTTTAGTTCCGAAAGATTATATATTATTATTATTAAAAAAAAAAAATTATTATATTAATATATCCGTTCTTACTTTATCTCAGCGTCTGGTGGAGCTACAGCGAAACAAAGAAATGTTCCACCCGATTTAAGAAGCTTTACTGAGTATTCCATTGCAGCTACATTACCACTACAGTCTATACAGAAATCATACAACTCCTTACTTTTTGCTTTCAGTTCTTCAGGAGTTACCAATTCGACTTTCAGATCTAAAAAGGTAGAATAAAATTGATGTATTTGACCGTTACTTGATGGGAATTAATTTTATTTAACAATAAAACACTGAAAACTTTGTTTTCAAACTTCCACAAAATTTATTTTAATTCTTACTACAGCTATTTCGGCTGATTGCCTTTTTTAAGTCATCTATTTTTGACATGCGTTTACACTTTATAGTCTCTAATAAAATAGGTTGAGGAGGGGAAAACTGTTTGTCTCAAGTTGGTCATTCAGAATTATATCTGTGTTTTTTTTTAATTTGTTGATTTCCACAATCAACAAATCAACAACATGGTGGAAATCAACAAATTAAAAAACACAGATATGATTCTGAGTGACCAACTTGAGACAAACAGTTTTCCCCTCCTCAACCTATTTCATTAGAGACTATAAAGTGTAAACGCATACCAAAAATAGATCACTTGAGAAAGGCAATCAGCCGAAACAGCTGTAGTGATAAGAGTTAAAAGAAATTTTGTGGAAGTTTGAAAACAAAGTTTTCAGTATTTTATTCTTACATAGAATAAAATTGTTGTATATCACAACATATCGTAAAACTTACCCAATTTTCTTATAACATCAAGTCTAGCTGTATTTGGTTCACAAACGGTAACGTTTCGTTGCCCTCTTAAATGACAAATACAAGCCCATAGCACACCAATTATACCAGCACCAGTTATTAAAATTTTCGAGCCTACTGGCATAGGTTCAACAATGTCCAGTCCGTGAGAGAGACATGATAATGGTTCTGCTAGAGCACCTACAAAAAATTTCAGTTGAATTTTGAATTGTTTTATTTTTAAAATTTAGAATTTTTGAAATTTGATCAATTTATTTATTATTTATTTTTTATCATTTCGTTCGTTAATTTTTTAGATTTTCAAGCTTAATTGTTTACATATTTATTAGTTTTGTTTATAGACCTACTAAAGTTAGTTTGCGTGCAACATAAATTAAAATATTCTTACCTTGTTCTAACGTAACATTATGTGGCAACTTATGGACCATGTGAGCGGGTATAACAACAAATTCAGCCCAAGCTCCATCCTTAAGAGTTCCTAAATTTTTGTTATTATTGTTACAAAAATGCGGTTGTCCCAAGTGACACCACTCACAAGACAAACAAGAACTAAAAACATTTAAATTAGTAAAGTTCAGCTATAAAATTATTTTCACAGTAACACAAAATAAAACCAAAAACTTACTCATTAGGGTCTCCAGCAACTTTATCTCCTACTTTAAAAATTGTTACATCTTTTCCAAAATCCACTACAGTTCCAGAAAACTCATGACCTAGAATTAGGGGTTGATCTTTTACTACCGGAAATTTTCCCTAAAAATAAAAGTACAAAAGATTTTCAATTTTTATTATACTTCTTTAAAACCCAAACCCAAAAGATGAACCCTGCAAAATAAAGCAGACACTCGTTTATTTTAATTAAAATTTAAAACTATTAAAAAAACTTAAATTCCGATAAAAAATTTCTTATTATGTATTCAATAAAAAACCACAAAAAAAAAACAAGTTACATAATATTGTTTAAGTTACAGTAAAGTACCAGAATTATAGCGAGTGACTTATGTTTAAATGGTTTTTATAGGCCAGTAAAATTGGAGTTTACCCTTTAGAAAAAAATATTTTTGTTGTTGGAATACCGACAAAAGAAAAAAATTTATTTATTATTTAATAAACAAATTATAGTCCGACAATTTTTAATTAAATGTGACTAATCTACAAATTGAACGAAGTGACAACGGCAACCATGTAAAATCTCAGAAGTAAATTCTTACCGGGATAATTTTATTGTGTATACTTCGCCCATATAAATAAGTAAAAAAAGATAGTCCCATAAAAAGTTGCTTACCAATGAATTTGCATTGTTACAGAGTTCGACCATTGAATACATTCCATACCATACATTACATTGAATAGTTTGAAGCATCGGTAAACTTATCAATATTTCTCTGGTCTATATATATATATATATATATATATATATATATATACAGTATAGGTAAAAGTTTATGGTCGGTATGGACCTTACATGAGATGGAGTGAGAAACAACTGTTTAAAAAGAGAGAGATATATTAGGTGTCCGCCTTTTATATCACCGAACATAAATGAGTGGATATGGAGTGGATATAATAAAAAGGGGAAATTAAACGTTGCCAAACTTATTGGTTTTATTTGACCTGTTGTCTTTGTCGCATTTGAACAATGCTCCAAGATAATGCAATTTGGGCGAAATGGATTTAAATGGCAGCTTATTGTTTTTTTTTTGGGAATATGCCACAATTTTACTTTACAATAAGTGTAATATAACATTTTGATTTATACTTCGGAAATCGTTTTATATAAATAAAATTTATTAATGTTTGGTATTTTAAAAACGATTTCCGAATTAAAAATCTAAACATCAAAATAAGCTTATTTTAAAGTGACATTATGCCTTATTTCCAATAAAAATATTAAACTGCATATAAATAAAAAAGCTTCGTACAAAACTATTTGCCAACGTGGCGTGTCGCGTGGTCAAATCACCGAATCAAAGGGTAAACAGGTATTTACGAATAGAGGTGGGTCATTGACGTCGCAAAACCGATTTTCGTAAACAAGTAACTATGATTTTTTAATAGTAGTTTCAAGTAAGAAACTACCTACATAAACAAACATAATGGCTATTATCGTTTATCTGTATATTTATTGAAGTGAAGGAAACTAATAAAAGATTTTATTATAACTTGAAAACTAAACTAAACAATACAAATAGTAAATCGTACCTACGTTTACATTACACGTTATTATTAAATCACGAATCGTCTAAATTGACATTTAAAAACATAAGTTTTTTTACTTTACTTCTTATTAATTGTGTTTTTCTTTTATTTAAAATTAAACCTGATTTTGAACATGTGTTCACATTTACAATACTTTATGAATATAGTGGTTAAGTTAGGAGATACATGGCGATGGTTTTTTCACCATTGTAATGGACTCTCGCTACAGGTGTACGTTTAGATGAGTCATGTCCAATTAATTGATCAAAAATACACCATGGACTTAAGTCATCTTTATCGGTTTCTTTTTCTTATACTGGTTGATTTTCAATAGTACAAACTTCTTGTTCTTTAATTATAGAAGTAACCAGCTTCTAAACTCTTTCTTTTGTTTTTTTTAGCGTCATTTTTATGAGAAAATCCCTGCACTTTAAATCGTGAATCCATAAACGTACATAATGACAATATGCCACTGTATTCTATCCCTCTAAATCTTTTTGCTAAACCCGAGATTAGTAATTATCCCGTAATTAGTAATAAAAACCCGTACTACGTCGGATACTAACTATGGATGTAAAGTTACTGTTTGCTAAAATTTTATTGCAAGATTTTTGCAGGCAGCGTACCAGAACAATCACTGAACTATCATTCAAGTATTTTTGGCCACTCATTGTACTTGTTATTTCTTTAAATGGCCGTAAAATTTAGGACAATTACGAAAAAATAATCCAGTCTTCATTATTTAGATTTGGTCTAAGTCTAAGTCTGTATTAACTGATACCAATATGGAACGGATTGCCTCTTCTAACTCCGTCATTCTTTCTAACATGTAATAGGTGAAGTTCTACCTAGTTTCCACGTCTTGGATTGGCCGTTTGGGATCTTTGTTATGTTGTAATTGATACTTTAAAGGCGTTTCTGAAGATAAGGTACTTTTTTGAAATGTGTTTTTTGCCGAATTGTCGAAAAAAAGACTTTTTATTTTATCTATTTGTACACGACAGCATTTAAGTGCGTCCTCCATCAATAAATTTAACGTATGAGCAAAACAATTTAAATGTTTTCATTCCAAAGCATATTTAATAGCTATGACCATATTTGAGGCATTATCAGTTACTGCAAAATTTACTTTTTGTTTTAGAACCCCTGAATAATAATTTCACTAATTTTAAAAGCGATGTTTTCTTAATTATGGTTTCCAGAAAAATGGCAGCAGTCTAATTAAACCGCGTTAAACTCTAAATTTTCGGTTAAATTCGTTAAAATCAACTAGTTGATGGTTGAAGCTGGTTACTTCTATAAAAAAAAAGAAAAAGAAGATTATACTATTGAAAATTGACTAGTACAAGAAAAAGAAACTGATAAAGATGACTTAAGTCCATGTAAATGTAAGTACTATTTGTATTGTTTAATTTATTTTTCAAGTTATAATAAATATATTCTTCGTTAGTTTCTTTCACTTTAATACTTATACACATAAACGATAATAGCCAATATGTTTGTACACTCGCTAATTTGAATACTGGTAAACAATCAACTAGTTACAGTTTACGAAAAACGGTTCCGATAAAAATTTAAAAAACTCAAGGACCCACCTCTAGTTTCTTAGCTTTATGAGGATCGGAACCACAGAATATGTAAAATATCTCTGATCGGAACTAATCGTCTCACTAACAGGCAAAATGGGCGTAAAGAAGATTTATGGAGGGGAGACCAAGGGGGAATATGATTGTTATCTTTGTCTATTCTCTGAAAATATGATTTTATATCTGTGTTAGATATCCTGTTAAGTTTTACCATACCGACCATAAAATTTAACCTACACTGTATATATATATTATATATATATATATATATATATATATATATATATATATATATATATATATATAGTTTAACGAATTTGACCTCCTAGGCCCTATATTTGGCCAATTTAATACAACAAAGCGATAGCAGCTTTTTGCTAACAGATTTATTCTTTACACATTTCGCATAGCCCAGAGGTAGAAAACGATGTGATTATATCGTTTTCGTTCACGGCCGCCAAAGCAGGTGGCGCCTCTGCTCGCAAACCACTGCAGTGGTGAAGCTTTAAGAGACATTCGTTCTACTTTCCGTGTTTGAATTTGTATCAGCCCAAGTGTCTGACGATGGCTGGGATAGGCCGAAATGATCATAACACTTTAGTGATACCGATTCGAGCACGGAAAGTTTAACGAATTTGTCCTCCTAGGCCATATATTTGGCCAATTTAATACAACAAAGCGATAGCAGCTTTTTGCTAAAAGATTTATTCTTTACACATTTTGCATAGCCCAGATGTAGAAAACGATGTGATTATATAGTTTTCGTTCACGGCCGCCAAAGCAGGTGGCGCCTCTGCTCGCAAACCACTGCAGTGGTGAAGTTTTAGGAGACATTCGTTCTACTTTCCGTGTTTGAATTTGTATCAGCCCAAGCGTCTGACGATGGCTGGGATAGGCCGAAATGATCATAACACTTTAGTGATATTGATTCGAGCACGGGAAGTTTAACGAATTTGTCCTCCTAGGCCATATATTTGGCCAATTTAATACAACAAAGCGATAGCAGCTTTTTGCTAAAAGATTTATTCTTTACATATATATATATATATATATATATACATATATATATAAATATATATATATATATATATATATATATATATATATATATATATATATATGTATATATATATATATATATATATATATATATATATATATATATATATATATATATATATATATATATATATATATATATATATATATATATTCTTAGAAAGAATGGAAATGAGATAAATATGATATATTAGTTTACTCGCTCTACGTTTTATATGTGCATAGGCGTAGTGTGTTCCATTTTTTGGGAATATATTTGATAAATTAATTTTTAATATTAACTTTAAAATAGTTTTGAGGTAAGTAAAGAAACTTTTAGATAAGTTTATTCTTTTTATAGTATTAACCCATTAACGACCGATACAATAAGCAAAGAGAAATTTGACAATTAATTTATTAGATTGCATTAAAAACATATAAATTAAGACTAATTTACAACCAAAATTTTTTTTCTCATTTTCAAGGAAAAAATAGTATAATTTTTAATAAAGAAACATATCCTATCATAAATGTAAATTAAATTTTAAGGTGAAATACATAAATAAATAGTATTACTTTTACACATCCGACATTCTTGCACTATCGTCTCTTTTTGTAATGTGACCAATATTGTCGAATCTGGTTTCTTCTGGTAAAGCAAATTTAGATTGCCATCCATATACTAAGTTTGACACTGATGTAGCGGTTTCTTCACTATTCTCTTCTCTTCATGTTTGATTAAACGAAATCTATGTCGGCTCATGCTTTCTCTTATAATGTGCACTTCTTTATCGTCATCCTTCGACCAATACATATCAACTTGAAGCAGAGTGTGAACCAGATAATATACATATGCCAATAAATGTTTTAAATCTGTCACTCATTTTGTAAAATCAATCAACTTTGTTAGCAATATTTGTAAAATATAGA